ATGTCAAAACGAGTCTAAGTACAAAACCATTCATATGACTTCCGCCTACAGGTTCATTAACTCATTTTTATGTGAAAGGTTCAGTACGAAGACTCGTTTTGAAACGGAGGCAAAAGGAAACATTAATCTATGAGCTGCTCACGGGAGCCTTTGATTCACTAGGTGATGTAAAAAATGACGACTGCATCGAACACTAACTTAAATTCTGAGTATGATTTGCCACAATAAAACCTACTCTAAAAATTTTCTGGATCATTGTAAAATACTTTCAAGGAATTCATTGTAAATGAAGTTAAAAAAAAATACTTCAGACTAGCTTTAAGGTGGTTCGATACAGTTTTTTTCTGGACCAAACCTAGCATTTTCAATTGGCGTTTTTCCAACCTTCCCTTACTCTGATCGATGTGAAAATTACACCAGTTTTTGGAAAAGAATTGAAGTTTGGTTGAATATGTTTTTTAAAGTAATCGATATTTCCATGGAAACGATAAACAAAAACAAAATCGGTAAAGCACGAATTTTGTACGAGTCAGATCTGTTATGGAAAAGCTGTTGCCAATTTCTGAAATTACGATGTATGGCAAGGGGAATATGCAAGAATAAAAAAATTCTGTATGTTTGATTTCGAATAAATCTCGAAAACATTTTAAAGCATGCTTTTTGCTTCATGAAATTAAATGGAGTGAAAGAAGAACACTATTTTAATGAAGTTGCTCCAAGAGACGCCAAAATGAGCCTTGTTATGTTTTGAAGCCATGAAAGCTTGATAGACTTTTTTAAAACGTTAACCATGCATGCCTGATAAAGTTAAGAATTTTATTCCAAGTTTTCATTAGCATTGATACACTCGAACACTTTTAAATTGTCGATGAAGTAGGCGCTCGAGCCCACGAAAAAAATGCGTTACAAAATCCCGATATAAAAAAATATGCTAAAATATTCAGATCTATTTGTGTGACATTCCTTCGTGATCAATACATTTCGTTGATGCTTATTTTAAAGTATAATAATTCGTTTTATCCGTTATTGACTTAATGTGTTGACAACAACACTTGTGCACAATTCTTAGCCCTTTTTCTCCTGAAAAAATTGACTATTTTCCCCAATACCTTCCTGTTCTTCGTCACTCGAGGTGGTGCATTTGAATTCTTTGAAAACAGTTCTTTCGCTGGCATGGAAAGAAGGGCCAAAAGTCCCCTTGATCCGTATTTGGAGAAAGCTTTTGTTAACTGATGGAATCCGATGCCAACCTTTGCAATTTTTTCTTTCATAGTTTTTGAAATGGGAAGCTCTTGCCTAGATATCGCTCTACAGCGGACACTTGCTTTGACGTCAGAGGCACTCTTTAGCTCCTCAACTACACGTACGAGTTTCTGAAAGTGTTTGATGTTCATATCAGGAAACATAACCAACAAAAACTCTGATAATGCTCTACAATCTCCAAGCGCATCATGCGCATCAAAGTCTTGGGGAAATCAACAATTAAAAATGTTTGTGAGGTTCAATCCGCTTCTTTTTTTTTTTTTAAAGGCATCTAGGGTTGCGAAGGCTTAAAGACTGTCCAAAAATAACAGATCCAGCGTCTTCACGCGATCAAGAAGTGAGAATTTGGTGGAAGAGTTCATAAAGATTGGGAAGTCAAACGTATCTCCGTTGTGGGCTATGAAAACAATCTTGGAGCCATTGGAATTGTTTGCCATATTTTCTAGGCAACTCTCAAAGTTTGTCAGTGTAGCTTGACAGGACACTTCGCAAGCTACAACTGTGTTGTCCTTTAGAAGAACTTTTTCCCGCAGGAATAAGAGGTTCGAAGTTTGTTGACACTAGATGCCTGAAGTGAAACATCACCATCTGGGACAGTGTATGCACGGAAATACTCTGCATTGTCCTCCACTGACATGCAAGTAATAAGTATTATTTCACTTTCCCGTTTTAGGACCGTAGTTTCTAGATCAAAGGTATAGCACTTGAATATGTGGGTTGATTCAAAGCAATTCTTTGGTCGACTTCAACATAAGTGCATCTCTCTCTCTCTAGATGAAAAGTGTGGCACTTCAGTAACATGTTTGTCTCTCAACTAAAACTTGCAGAAAATATTGTTTTTCCATGACACACTTTATGCGACTCTAGCAAAATACATTGTATGTTTGGACGGAGTTTCACTTTCACAGGATAATTCCTCTGTATTTTAAAATGGTACGTAAGTGCCAGGGCGCAGGGTATCGAACACAAAAGAAGGGTAAAACCCAATTTTGCCAGCAATGAATGGATAGATGGGAGACTAATAAATGCTGGTATATTCCCCTTCCCACCCCGTACATTTTAAATACTCTTTTGTAGAGATTACAAGAAGACGGGTTGTAATGATATGAATTTTCATCTACGTTCAAGTTTACCGTTTC